TTTGATAACCAGTAGTGTCTGTCTTTAGACAGCTTGACACCTATACTTTTATGAATCATAGATGAATTTTATTTTGTGGAAAAGAATCTGAGTGTTGCACAGTGTTTTGGTGACTGTTTTCGACTGTGGTAGTGAGGCAGTGAGTGGATTTATAGAAAATAAATCCAATAATTTGTTCTTTTGTTTTGAAGATGATCCTGAAACTTTTCTTGGGAAGCAAAAATAAATGCCTGAATTAGTGTAATGATGCTAATGTGAATTTTGCTTATTTTTCAGTCAGAATCTGGAGATGTGAATAGAAACACAGAACTGAAGAAACTTCAGATTTTTGGGGCTGGGCCCAAGGTTGTGGGCCTGGCAATGGGAACAAAAGATAAAGAAGGTAAAATTTGTTATTTGATCATGAAAAGAGATAAGGTTCAATATGGTCGTAAAAAGATTCAAATAATACTTGAATTGCCGTCTGTGCTGGGAAATTCTTAAGAATTGTAAAGTTGCAGTGTGGTTTCTAGGCAAATCGCCTTTTAAATGCCAGATGTCTTAAATTTAAGATGTGAAGAGCAATATTATGTTGAATTTTTATGATTTTTGAAGAGATAATTTTTCTTCTTTATGTCAAGTATATGATACAGAAATGTATTGCAGTTTCTAAAGGCCGATTTATGAGAGAATGGTGGAATTAATGGTTCTTACCTAGTGATCTAAAGCTTTTAACTCTTAGTATCAACATATACTGGGGGATACTTAGAATTTTAAAATCCTAACCATAATTTTGATTTTTGAAATAATTGTCCTTGATACATTATGACTGTTCATTTGAATAAACTGTTTTCTTCAGTAAGTCTAGTACTCTCAGCTTCACATGTTGGAAAGCTTTTTGTGGGTAGAACTGCTCATGCAAAGATCAAGTTCCACTATTCTCTCTATGTAATGTCAGTTTTAAAACTGTTTAACAAAGATTAGGCTGAATATGTTTTGACTATATAAGAACGTAATGAAATGCTACAGTCACAAATATTAATTACCATGTACTTACATTTGTAGTTAAGTCATACAATTCAGATTGTGGACTGAACTCTAGAGCATTAAATAATATTGTTCCATCTCTCTCAAAACATCCCATGGAATAAGACTTATTGAATACATTATAACAATGATCATATTTCCTTTTTAAGAATTAAATGCTTTATTTTTGTTATTTTTGTAATTACAGTATTGGTTGGCAACAGTTTTAGAAATTAGTCCCTGACTAATTTGGGAGTCCTTCAAGTAATACATACAGGTTGTATGTAGTACGTACTGCATACAAATATAGCATTAATGGGTAAGCTCTCTGGAGCTTATGTGACTGGATTAGAATTGTAAATCCGCCTGGCTGTGTGATTTTGAGCAAGTTACTAACTTCGCTATACCTCAGGTTCTTCATCTTCAGTGAGAGATAATAAATAGTATATCTACCTCTAGATAAACAGTTACACGATTTTAACTATTTTAAGTAATTTTAAATTGTGTCTGGTTCATAGTAAGCTCTCAACATTAGGTTTTACTATTATATTATAACTTTTTATTTCAAGATGAAGTCACCCGAAGACGAAAAGTTACCAACAGATCAGACGCATTTAACATGCAAATGAGGCAACGGAAAGGCACTCTCTCTGTTAACTTTGTAAGTATATTGGGGTCTATCAGGAGGGAAAGCATCTATTTTTATTATGGTTTTGTAATTTTTATCCTGGTATATCTTGGTATGTGTTTAGTTAGTTCATTTGGTTAGAAGACTTGATGGCAAATCTATGAAGTTACAGCTTTTGTTTATGTTATTAACCTTGCTTTGTCCTACATAGGTAGGCTGCTTCCTGTACGTCATATACCTGTGTGTAACCAAGTGAGAGCATGAAAATGAATCTGTATAAATTGTTGAGTTCTATTATAGACAGTCTCAGTATTCATTCTCTATCAAAGAGTATTTGTATATGGGAAGAATTACATGGTATTTGAAAAATATATATAAACTGATTTTCAGATACCCGAGATTTGTAGTCTTTCTTTATTCTAACAACGTGATACACTTTTATTAGCTTGCTTGTAAAAACTCTGAAAGGAAATTTAGGGAGTTTTATGAAAAGCTGTTTAAAAATAATTATTTGATGGACATTTAGGGTTTAAGTTGTGTTTACTTTTCAGTTACATTATTTTGTTTGCTTCAGCTAAGGAGTTCCTGGTAAAAATTTAGTATTATTTATTATAGAAAATAGACTTTTATTTATTTATTTATTTATTTATTTTTAACAGGTTGATCTCTATGTTTGTATGTTTTGTGGCCGGGGAAACAATGAAGATAAATTGCTTTTGTGTGATGGATGTGATGACAGCTATCATACATTTTGTCTCATTCCTCCACTACCTGATGTGCCCAAAGGAGACTGGAGGTGTCCTAAATGTGTCGCTGAGGTACAAGCCTAACCTTTATGAATCCTTTTTTAACTAAAAACAATAATGCATGCATATATACATACATGTAAACATGTTCCCAAATATGTTTCCTTTTCTCATTCTCTCTTCATCATGTAGTGTTTAAAATTTCCAGGACTTAAAAAAGCTATATTGAATGGAAATGTAACAATTGTATTGTGGTAGCTTACCTTTCAAAGGTTCTTTTTCTGACTGTTGGTTAGGTCATTCTGCTTATTGCTGCAGATGATGAGACTTCTCAGAATATTTGTATTACTAGACCACAAAAATGAAAAAAAGCATAGATTGTTTTTTCTCTATTAATTAAAAAAGTATAACCAGACATGAAGGTATAGAACTTGGGATTTATGCTTCCAGTTTCATGCTATTAAATAAACTGAAGGTATCTTTTATTTACTTACTATTTATTTACTCTTTTGAGACAGGGCCTACAGCCTCTCAGCCAGGCTACAATGCAGTGGCGTGATCTCAGCTCAGTGCAGTCTCTGGCTTCTGGGCTCAGATGATACTCTCAGCTCAGACTCCTTACAGATGTATGCCACCACGCCCAGATAATTTTTGTATTTTTTGTAGAGATAAAGTTTTACCATGTTGCCCAGGATTGTCTCAAACTCCTGGGCTCAAGTGGTCCACCTGCCTTGATCTCCCAAAGTGCTGGGATTACAGATGTGGACCTTGTGCTGGGCCCTGATGGTATCTTTTAGCTTGCCCAAATTTTGACTTGATTTTACTAAATTTTTCTTAGTGAAAAATTGTAGTATTGTCCTTGTCATAAAATGCCTAGTCTGTTTACTTATTTTAACAAAATGCTGTTATAGGACATTAAAGAGAAGGATTTATTGGTGTATCTAGATGCATTCAAAGGTCTGTTAGGGCCTTAGAATTATTACTTATTTACTATTCTCAAGGTTAAAGAATTCAGAGGCAGTTCTACTCTAAGTGAGTTATTTGTGTTAAGACATTGGTCATAGTGATTGATAGTGTGAACAAAGTACTCTCTTAGTCTGATACCCTCACGATCCTGTGGCTATCTCGTTATCCATTACCTTTCCTTCCTCCATGAACATTTATTTTCTCCATGGCCAAAACCACTGATATGCTAAGAATGTTAGGCATCCCTAGGCTTGATTCCAAGTCAGTAGTCCTTTAGGTGCTTGTAGTGCCAGAACTTAATGTTACCTCTGGATCTAAAGCCGTCTTAGTACCACCTTCCTATTGGAAGGCTGTGACAGTGAAGTTGAGGCTCTAGAAAATAACTTCCTGATACTATATTGTAAGTAGCTAATACTTGTTTTGTTGTCTAGGGTTGATTGGATTTGCTTTACCTAGGGAAATGATGAAAGAATGTAGTAACTAAGAGCTTTAAACCTTTCTTCAGTTCAGTTTTAGTGAGTTAATCTTAGATATTTTTTTCTTTCCAGGAATGTAACAAACCTCGAGAAGCCTTTGGATTTGAACAAGCTGTTAGAGAGTATACACTTCAGAGCTTTGGAGAAATGGCAGATAATTTTAAGTCTGATTATTTTAATATGCCAGTTCATGTGAGTAATCTGTCTTTTAGGTCAGTCTGGGGAGGTACAAAGATTTATCTGAGTCCAAAGCCTTCAGTTTCCTCTTTTATTATTTTGTAGAAAACAGGGACAGCATGAAAAAGATGATGGAACACTACATCTTAAAATCAGGGCCCTGATATCTAATTCTTTTTCTTTCACTGTCTAATGTGGCAGTTTGTACACCTTGTTGTAAAATCTTTTTTTTTTTTTTGAGGTGAGTCTTACTCTGTCACCTAGGCTGGAGTGTAGTGGTGTGATCTTGGCTTACTGCAGCCCCCTACTCCTGGGTTCAAGCTATTCTCCTGCCTCAGCCTACTGAGTCACTGGGACTACAGGCACATGCCACTATGCCCTGCTAAGTTTTGTATTTTTCATTTTTTTGAGGTACCAGAGTCTCGCTCTGTCGCCCAGGCTGGAGTGCAGTGGTGACATTTTGGCTCACTGCAACCTCCGCCACCTGGGTTCAAGCAATTCCCCTGTCTCAGCCTCCCAAGTAGCTGGGACTACAGGTGTATACCACCATGCCCAGCTAATTTTTGTATTTTTAGTAGAAATGGGGTTTCACCATATTGGTCAGGCTTGTCTTGAACTCCCGACCTCAGGTGATCCACCCGCCTCAGCCTCCCAAAATGCTGGGATTACAGTTGTGAGCCACTGCACTGGCCAATTTTTGTATTTTTAATAGAGACAGGGTTTTAGCATGTCGCCCAGGCTGGTCTTGAGCTCCTGACCTCAAGTGATCTGCCCACCTTGGCCTCCCAAAGTGCTGGAATTATAGGCGTGAGGCACTGCATCCAGCTGCAAACTCTATTTTGATTCTTGAATTGTTATATTAGTCCTCTATGAATAATTCTTTACAGAAAAGCATAAAGTATTGGGCAGTTGTTGCTTTTCTTTAGTTATTTGTACTTCAGAGTTTGCTTCTTTTCCTAGTGTATCTTAGGCTTTTTTAGTCCCTATCAAGTAATTTGCTGTAGTTATTAAAATTTAGTCTTGCGGTAAAGACTTGGAACCAACCCAAATGCCAATCAGTGATAGACTGGATGAAGAAAATGTGACACATAGATGCAAGATGGCCGATTACTAGCAGCTCAGGATTGTAGCTCCCAGAGAAAGCGCACAGAAAGAGAGGACATCACACTTTCAGAAGAATTTTTGTTGCCCACGGGACTAGGAGATTCCCAGTAGAGGAGCCCCACGGGTCACCAGTGCGACTCTTGTGGCCGGCACGGTGGTTCTCAGTGCAGAGTAAACGGGACTGGGTCCCCTTTTGATTGACGTTTGGAGCTCCAGGAAGGCAGAGTCACCCATTTACCTGATTGAAAGGGATTCAAGAGGGAAGCCAGATCGGAGACTGCTGAGCAGAAAAGCACCACGAATCTTAATGCCGCTGTTTTAGCCGGTGCAGTGGGTTGCTCAGATTTTGGCACTGGGAATCAACAAGTTGGACGTCCACTCAGACCTAATTTGAAAGTTGGCAATCACAAAGACGACAGGTGGATAAACTCACAATGATGGGAAGAAACCAGCGTAAAAAGGTTGAGAATACCCAGAATCAGAATGCCTCTCCTCCTACAGGGGATCACAGTTCCTCATCATCAAGGGAACGAGGCCTGATGGAGAACGAGTGTGTTCCATTAACAGATTTAGGCTTCAGAAGGTGGATAATAAGGAACTTTTGTGAGCTAAAAGAACATGTTCTAACCCAGTGTAAAGAAACTAAGAACTTTGAAAAAAGATTTGACAAAATGCTAATGAGAATAGATAATTTAGAAACGAAAATGAGTGAGTTAATGGAACTGAAGAATACAATATGAGAACGTCGCGAAGTATGCACAGGTTTTAACAGTTGAATTGATCAAGCAGAAGAAAGGATATCAGAGGTCAAAGACCTACTTAATGAAATGAAACGAGAAGACAAGAGTCGAGAAGAAAGAGTAAAAAGGAATGAACAAAGTCTCCAAGAAATATGGGACTATGTGAAAAGACCTAATTTACGACTGATAGGTGTACCTGAATGTCATGAAGAGAATGAATCCAAGTTGGAAAATATTCTTCAGGATATTATTCAGGAAAACTTTCCTAACCTAGTAAGGCAGGACAATACTCAACTCCAGGTAATCCAGAGAACACCACAAAGATATTCCTCAAGTAGAGCAACTCCAAGGCACATAATTGCTAGATTCACTAGGGTTGAAATAAAGGAGAAAATTCTGAGGGCAGCTAGAGAGAAAGGTCAGGTTACCCATAAAGGGAAGCCTATCAGACTTACAGCAGACCTCTCAGCAGAAACCCTACAATCTA